ATATATATATATATATATATTCTTGCAGAGTTAGAATTTCTTGAAACAAACGTTATTTTTCTTTGTGAGTTGATTTTTCTGCAATTTATACGGGTTATCTAATTGAAATTTTAATTTGCAATTCAGCTTGAATTCCAATGAAGAGATTTTATCCTGTAGTTCCTTCCGAGCCTTCACAACCAAGTTCAACACCTCAAGAATCATCTAACTTGGAAGAAACAGTCGATGAATCAGAACAACTTCCACAAAGTGAAGGAGTTAATTTAAATCGTTTAGAGACTGATCCAGGGAAAAGATTAGCAATTCGAAAATATCATCCAAATGACCGTGATGCAGTAAGAAGAGCATATATTCAACAAGGTCTTTGCCGACCTCGAAATCACAATTTCCCTCAAAGAAATTTTTATGGTCAATTGCGTCGTTTTAATACTCGATTGTTTCTTGAGTACGGTTGGAGTATAGCCTAACAAAAGATGCGGCATATTGCTTCTATTGTTATTTGTTCCAAGATGAATGCATTAAACAAGGGGGAGGAGATGTATTTTCAAGCATAGGGTTTACAAGTTGAAATAAGAAGGATAGATTTGATATGCATATTAGTGGACCAAACAACGTTCACAATCAGTCAAGAAAGAAGTGTGAAGATTTGATGAAACAAAAACAATCCATTCAAAGTGCACTTGCTAAACAATCTGATCAACAAAAGTTAGAATACCGAACTCGTTTAGAAGCTACAATTGATGTGATAAGATATTTTTTGAATCAAGGATTATCATTTCGGGGACATCGTGAAGGTGAATCATCTTTCAATAGAGGTAACTATATTGAACTTCTTACATGGTACGCAAAGCGATGTAAAGATATTGATGATGCGTTTAAAAAAGCTCCAAAAAATAATCAATTGACTTCTCCATATATTCAAAAGGATATTATCACTGCATGTAAGATAGAAACAATTAAGAGTATCATTAAGGATATAAATGATGATCACTTTTCAATATTAGTTTATGAATCTCGCGATGTATCATGTAAGGAGCAAATGGCTATTGTTCTGCGTTATGTTGATAGGAGGGAAAGTGTGATGGAGCGCTTTATGGGCATTGTTCATGTTCGTGATACTACAGCTTTGTCGCTAAGGAATGAAATTGTTAGTTTACTTACTAAACATTCTTTAAGTCCATCTTATATACGTGGACAATGCTATGATGGAGCAAGCAATATGCAAGGTGATTTAAATGGTCTTAAGATCTTAATGCAAAAAGAAAGTAGAGGTGCTCATTCTATTCATTGTTTTGCTCATCAACTTCAATTAACTCTTGTTGCGGTTTCTAGAAGATGTGATGAAGTGCAAGAACTCTTATTGTTGGTTTCTGATATATTTAATATGGTGGGAGCTTCTTTCAAGCGTAGAGATGAACTTCGTGAATCTCAAGCAGAAGAAATAGAAGAGGCATTACGTAAAGGTGAGCTTGAAACTGATAAGGGCTTGAATCAAGAATTGGGTCTTGCTAGAGCTGGTGATACACAATGGGGTTCTCATTACAAATCCTTTAATAATTTTATCCTTATGTTTGGCTCTATTATTGATGTGCTTGATGCTATTGCTGTTAATGCACATTTTAGAAGNTTTAACAGGATAAGATGTTACCCTTTAAGACAAATTAAAGGGTCTCGTTCACCATGTTTAATGCTTTCATTTTGTACTCAATTGTTCTATTAAATGATTCCAAATATGGTTAAATATAGATCAAGCAAAGATTTACGTGATTTTATATATATATATATATATATATATATATATATATATATATATATATATATAT